TATGCCAAGGTCACTGGTTGCAACTCATAGCAAAGGTCAGTAAAAATGGCCAATGATCTTGTTTTATTTCAAATAGCTTCTTAAAACAACTTGCTTCATTTCAAATAGTATTTTCTGCCCAAGGGAATGAAAATAAAAGTGGTATCAAGTGTATAGAGAAATTAGCCCTTCATACATTGTTGATGGGGATTATAAATAGGTATAATCTTTTGGGAGCAAAATTTGGCAATATTAAAACAACTGTAAAATGTGCATACCCTTTAATGTAGCAATTCCTCTGAAGTGACTGTATGCATGCAAGAGATATACAAAGATATTCATCTTAGTACAATTTATAATATCAAAAAATTAGAAGCAACTTAAAGTGGTTAAAAATATTAAGGTAAATTCATACAGTGGAGTACTGTGCAGCTATTATGAAGAATGACCTATAAAAAGGCTATCCTAGATTTGTTGATTTTATTTATAAGATTCTAAAAGTAATATGCATGTGTGTGTGAGACAGCAAAGTACTTAGTACCTGGCAAATAATAAACATTAGGAAAAATGTATCAAAATGTGATGGTATATACATGAAGAAAAAAAAGAAATACAGAGTATTACAAACTAAGTGGTAAACAGTGGCTGTTTCTGGGAGATGGGATTATGTGGTGTTCTTTTTCTTTTAATACATTTCTGTGTTGTTTGAATATTCTTTCATAATTTTTATGATGAAAATGTAATAAAGATATGCTTTCTACAAAATGGAAAAAAAACCCTATTATCAGAAAAGAACATCTTCCATATGCACAGAATTCAGTCTAGTAATACGAAACATTTCAAATCCACACGACGGACCAAACAGTGCTGCCATGTATTAGATTTCTGGCGGCGTTAACCCGTTCAGAAGAGAGAGAAGGAAAACAGATAATGTCACCGATGTTGAAAAAAGACAGGTCATTCCTCTCCCGTGAAAATCTGAGATGCTGGTCTGAAGCCCCAGAGCCAAAGGAGGACGTGAACAGCCACGGGGCGCTGGGCGCTCCTTGACGCCTTGACAGACGTTTCACCGCAGAACCTGCTGACAGGTTCCGGGGGCAGCAAGGCAGACCTTGCTGCCTGTGACCAGCCGCTGCCGGAACCACAGGTGGGCCTGACCGTGAGGCCAGTAACAACAACAGGCAGCTTTTCCTAAAAGCCAGCGATCTGCAGACTCCCTCAAACTGCAAAAACTGAGATCAGAGTCTGCAGGAAAATTCACAGGTGTGGTGCTGTGTACTGAAACATTTCTGGTTTTTACGTCTATCAACTGAGCGCTTGGTCACTTTATGGAACAGGCTGATGAATTCTGGGTGGGTCCACAGGTTTTTCTAGCTACGAATTATTATGACTTTCCTCTGTTTCCTATCCCAGGCGATGGTTCACTATGATCGGAACTAAGTTTACAGATAATGGCAAGAGGGCACTTGCATCTTTGGACAAGATTTCAGGAAGAAATCCTTACCATTTCTCCACAAAGTATAAAGTGCTCTGGAGTTTTTTGTTTTTTTTTAAATGGCCTGTTACAATTTCCTTTTATTTCTCTTAGCATCCTTTTAAAAATCGAGATGAGGTGTTGAAATATTTTTGTCACTTATTAACAGAATAATGAATTTCTCACTTAACTCACTGATGTGATTAGATCACCTGCTAGTTGCAGAATTCCTAAGCCAACAGGTTACATACAAAAAAATCTATCAACTGGTTCACCTAAGAGTGGAATGCCAGACGCAATGCAATCAGGGCCTGCCTGACTCACAAGAAAGCTCTGACAGACAGGTTCTGAGGCTGTATCATGAACTTAACCTCATCTGAAAGTGGTCCATACCGCAACTACAGCACCAACCACACTGAGCTGCAATTTACCTGCTCACAAGTGTGTCTCTTTCCAAGACTTCTCAGGGTGAAGGGCAATTTCTCATGCACCGAGTACCGGCTGTGTCTTACACGTGGTGAGGAGACTGGGTTATTTCTGTTCCCTCGGCACACGCTATATGCTGCCTGTAAGCTAGCTACCTCATAACCTGCAATCGAGACCAGATTCAAGGGACAACATAGGGACCATAAAGAAAGGAGGAGGAAATACAAAAATCACACTGCCTTCTTACTTCAGGATGGTGGAAAACTATTAAAATAAAACATATCCAGACCTGCCCCAAGCCTGCTTTATCCCAGCTCCCACGCACCTGGGACCGCTGTCCGTTGCTGTTATCGTTCAGAATGCGTAACTGGACTTTGTGAGTGTCACAGCTCGCAAAGCATCTCACATGTGTTGCCTCACTTGCTCCTCATTACAGACACCCTCGGGGACAGGTGAGAGCCAGAGTTCAAATCTAGAGTTGAAGCTGGTTATGAATTCTGGTGCTCAACTGCCAGGGAGGACAAGTTACAAAATCTCAATTAGCCTCATTTCCTTTATCTGTAAAATAAAGTTAGTATTATTTACTTCACAGAATGTTTGTGACGATCAAGTAAGAAAAGTGAACATCCTTCTTCGGACACCAAAATGTTTCCTTCAAGGGACACCTCTACCGCAAGTCACAGCCACAGGCCTTTAGGGCCTCATGGCTCTCTGTTGGTGGCTGTCCCGGCATTAATGGACAGCAGCTGGCGAGGCTACGTGGATGGCCCTGGGTCTGTGATGGGCTCAAGGACATGGTCCGAGCCATCAACCCTGCCTCCTCCCACGCCTGTTCCACCCGCAAGGACCTTCTTCGTCATTTCCTCAATCTTTTAGACTCAGGCAGGGGTGTCCAACCTGCGGTCCCCAGCCGCACGTGGCCCAGGATGCCTATGAATGCGGCCCCACACAAAACTGTAAATTTATTCAAAACAGTATGACATTTTTTTTTTTTGGTGATTATGCATCACAATGTATTTAATGTGTGGCCCAGAGACACCAAAAGGTAGGACAACCCTGGCAAGGTCTCATATCCATCCTTCAGTTTCTCTTCAAATGGCCATGGGACAAGGGTGGGCTGGCCCAACAGAGGGCACAGGCTTCCCCTCACATCTTCCCAACTCCCCCCTCGAGCTCAGCCTGCGCATCTTTAACTAGCTCTCAGTGGGTAAGGCCTGTAGCAGTGCTTTTCCGTGGCCAGGAAAAGCACAATATTAATCACGGTTCTGGAGCCAAAGTGCCTGGGTTCAGTCCCAACTATACCTCTCACTATCCCTGGGGTGAACTCACCAAGTACTTAACCTCTCTTTGCCTTAGCTTCATCCTTTGCAAAACAGGGGTCAACACAGTTTGTTTGGGGGAATTCAATAAGACACATAGTAGGGACTCAATAAAACTTAGTAGTTTATTTATATAAAAAACAAAAACCTTTCTATATATATAAATAGGCGTATAACCACACACATAAATATATGGTGAAAGTGCTGAAGGATATGCATAGGATGGTTTATATTGGAATCCTTCAGGGAGCATATAAAAGAGAACTTTTATTTGATATATACTTGTACCATTTTAAAAGCATATATTATTTCTGTAATTTAAACACACTTTTAAAAAGAACATACTTGGGCCCAGACCACTGTGGCTCAGTTGGTTGGGCGTCATCCCACAAAGTGAAAGGTCACCAGTTCAATTCCCGGTCAGGTCACATGACCGGGCTACACATTCAGTCCCCAGCTGGGGCGAGTGCAAGAGGCAACCCCGATGGATGTTTCTCACTTGTGTGAATGTTTCTCTCCCTCCCTTTCTCCCTCCCTTCCCCTCTCTCTAAAAATAAATAAAATCTTTTTTAAAATGTTAAAAAAAACCCCCAAACACCTGGGTATGGTAAAGATAAGGAAAGGAGGTGAGGGGAAGGGCAGGTATGGGGAAGAAGGAAGAGGAAGAATGGCTTGTGTGAGGCCGAAGCCAAAGGCTGGATCACATAGAGCCTTGACTGGCTGAGACATCCTGGTCATAGCTTTACTGCTAGTTACAGAGTGCGTTCCCAATACCTTGTCTGGGAAACTTTCTGTCATGTGTATCTGTCAGCCTTATATAAATTTCCTTCGTATCTTCCCTGCTACTCTGGGAAGTGGGGATACTCCGCTCCACTAAACCAAGTCACCCCGAGCTGGAGGGTGGGTGGGGGAGGTTCTGATTTCATTCGCAGCCGTAGGCTGCCCGGGTGCCTGGAGCCCCATAGGGAGTGGAAGGCATTTCTCCTGGGTCTTGCGAGAAAAGGGCACATGCAAGACAAGCCCTACGAAGCGTCCATGAGACCTGAGCATGTTTCCCTAACAAGTCCAGCCCACCCTGTCTGGGAGAAATGAAGGAGAGCTCTGCCCCTTTCTGAAGAATCTTCCAAGCTGCCTCAGTTTCTCCCTTCTCCAAGGCCTAATGGACACACACTGAAGCAAGCAAAAGCTGGTTTGACCAGCTCTGTGCAAGAGCCCCCGTGGGGCCACTCTTCATCTCCATCCTAAAAGCTCAGTGCTGTATATAGTGAAAAAGCATATCCTTTTTTGGTAAAAGTTCCAGCATCAGAACACCAAGAGCAATGTTGCCTGTTCCTTAAATGTAGTCAAGATCTTCAAGTAGCCAACCCACATTTCTGACTTTATTCAAAGGGTGAAAACTCCCTTGTAACTTCCCTCACATCACTTCTGATGGGCAAAAAGCTCTTTAGCTCATGCTAAAATGCACACCTGAAGAAGTTTGCGTTTTTGGAAAACTACCTACTGCATGGTCTAGGAAAATTTATTCTTAAATTGCAGATCTGCATTGCTTCTACCTGTAGCCAGGTTTCTTATGGGCCCCACCCAAACAAATACAGCTATTCTTGCTGGCAACTATGAATCTATGTAACAATATCTCCCCACTTTATTAATGCCTCTGCTAACGAAGTTCCTGCCAGTTAAATCTGTCCTTGTGACCCATTCTCAAAACCCTATTAGCAACTCCACCGCCGACTGAATTCACCCAAAGGAATCAGATCTGCTCTAAGAAAGATGACCAAAAGGACCCGAAGACGGTGACTCACCTTTCTCATGGCTGCTTGGTGGCGGGGGCGGGGGCGGGGAGGTGACTGGTTTGGACTTGTCATAGTTGTTAAAGCTCTGGCTGCGTCGGTTGTTAGCAGCTGCCGATCCTCCTCGAGCTTTGGCATCGCTGCCTGCAGCGGATACCCGAGCAGTAGGACCTGGGAGTCTGAAATGCAAAAGCAACAGAGTAACAGACTCAGCCTCAGAAGAACAGAAGTATCTTAGGAGAAGGGACTGCAGCCATGCAGGAGATAAAAGAAACCATTCGAGACACTGGGTCTGCAAAGGTTGGCGGGTCACAGAATTTAGTTGGGACCACTACAAACAGCTAGGCTAGTAATGACCCCTATAAGTCCAATCGCAAAATGTGAGCAGTTTTCCTTTGAGCACTGAGAGACATTTTGGAGAAAAAAATATATGAATATATGTGCTGACTGAAAATACAAAGTCCATCTTCCTTTTTCTCTTGAATGAGTGTTTTTACTGTACAATAGGGCCAAACCATGTCACCTCCAATTCTATCAAGTGTGGAACATAAAGGCCCATTAAGACTCTATAAACTGTTTACCTTGTGTGTTGCAAATGGCATCTGCCATATTCCAGACATGTAAGTATCAAGAAAAAGACAATTTATAATAATCAGAAAGGAAACCGCTACCACTCAGAGCCCAACACCTGCGCAATGAAAACTCAAGGCCTGGACGGAAACACTGTTCAGACACACATTTCCTTCAACACCTGACAGCCTGTCTCCACAGGCACTACTCTAAGGCTGAAGCCTAGCTTCTCTGCCCAGTGGACAGATAAAATCGTATTTTTTCTATAAAACCAGGAGGAATCTGTTAGCCTAAAGACACATGCAGTTTCCCTTTAAATAAAACACCTCATTTGGGGTGGTTTGGGAAATAAAGTCAGCCGACATCTAATGCGTCTAAAGATATTATGGCCCATTCCCCAAAGAGTTAAGGGTAAGACCCCAAGCAGAATTTTGGTTCAGGGACTATTAAGGCTGTTTCCAATCATCAAAGTTGAAAGATGAATAAATGGTGAAATATTTAGTTATACCTTTCTGCTAAAACCCACTTAGCTGTGTTTGGAAGCCACTGGAACCTCAGCCGACTAGCATGAGACCTAGTGAAAGTCTGACTTTTCAACGTATAAAGCTTTCAGCTTTCCCTTTCCACTCAAATCTGTAAGCACGAAAGGAGTCTGCAGTCTGGAAGCATTTTAGATATAAGCAGGCAATCACTTTTAAATTATTTCTTGTTGGCCAAGCAAGAAAGGTAGCAGTAGAGTAAACAGAGAACATGAGCTGGTGTGAGAGGACTGTAAATTTGTACAGTTAAGGAGAAGCTGGCCCCGCTCCCTGATGGGGAACTAGGAGAGAAGGAAAGGGGTGAGCTCTTCCCCCAAAGAGGCATCACCTCCCACTACACTAGGAGGCCCGGCCCCTCTGTTAATTTACCGTGTCTTGTTTGGAGAAGATATTCACCCACAAAGACAGGCACAGAGTGGGGCGTAAGACCAGCAGTGCCAGTGCCAATGTCTGGGAACCAGTGTGGCCAGCACAACCGACCGAGGAGGTCCGGCAGTGGGGTCTCGGTACTGCTTGGTCCTGCTTCCAATGCAGGTGACATCTAAGTAACATGCGTATTGATAAAAGAACATGCAAAGTTCGGAAGTAATTTCAAGAAAGAAAATGATAACCTTGAAGTTTGGTGGGTGGTTGGGGAAGTTTCCAAATAAAAGCAACCCAAGAGTAAATGTGGCATGGGAATGTGAGTACAGGGCAAGAATGTAGGGAGTAATGCTGAGAGGCAGAGGTGTTTTGCAGAGGGAGGCCTGTAATGAGGGGGAAAGGTCGGTCCATTGTGTTCTGGGGCTTGGGGAAGTAGGTCACTATGAGTCTCGAACATTGTCCTGCCCCCCAGCAATGAGGGTTAATTAGGGAGGCTGAGAGCAGAATCGCTGACTACCTTCTAGTTCACAGTGACACAGACCCTAGGCCTCTGGCTAACATTCTGAAGTTCATCATTATTAACATCCTTGTGCGTCAGGAGAATTTCTATCAAGCCCCAGCCCAGAAGCAGCTGCTGTCTGTACATTAGAATCCCTCTTTGCTGAAGAGCTGGGTCTCGCTCATGGCGAACAGCTGCAGGTACCACAGCAGGTGCTTCCCAGGGTGCCTGCCTTGCTGCAGAACAGCAAAGAGAGAGGAGCATGGCAAGTCCGCCCTGTCTCATGTACACCCTGCATCACTTACAGTGCCAGAAGGTTCCAATGGCTCCTTTGGAAGAGCAGCTCCATTTCTCATGACCATTCCATGTCCAAACACAGTTACAAAATGACAGAGGACACAGATGCGTCCTTTTGAACATACACATATTGTTTTTTGTTGTTTTTTTTTTAAATTATGTTTAAGGGATGTGGTGGAACAAAGGGGCAGAAGAAAAAACCTGCTATTGGAGCCTTGGTCAATTTCTCCAACATGTGCAGAGCCCAGCAGGAAGGGCGGTAAAGCTATGGTTCCCGGCACGTAACCTGCGAGTGCATCCCGGCTCCATGCGCTGTACGTGCTGGTGGGAAGAAAGCTGTTCTTCCCCCTAAAACCACTTCAAAGCAGAAGATGGCCCTCCCAGGATGGATGGCAGCTTGCGTGCACATGCTCAGGGCCGCAGGGGGCGGGGATCCTAATCAGAGATGCTTTTTGCTAGACAAGATGATTAAATGCTAAATCTCTCATCTCTATAGCATCTGCTTTTCAACAGCTGGGCCAAACTTCTCGCCCCACTGCTTCCTCTTCATGCGACGGTCACGTAGAGATAACTCTGTGGGACCTATGGAAGTTGCCTGACCTACCCAGCCCAGGTCAACCCCAAACACCACATCAACTAGTTACGCTGCACTTACTACACTACTTGCCAAGTACTGAAGGATTAGAAATGACTTTACATAAAGCACATCACACTTTGAGGCAGGACTATCCCATTTTACCAATAAAGAAACACAGGCTCATAGAGACTAAATAATTTGCCCAGGTCACATGGTCAGTGGTGCACATGAGCTTTCACTCAATTTAAACACCAAGATGCACTCTCAGCCACTGCTTCCTGCAGGTAGAATGACCCCAAGTACCTAGAGCTCACCAGGGATGCCCAAGAGACAAGAACAGTGTCAAAGGCAGAAATGCATGAAAATCCTTCATTCCTGTACCAGTTCTCTCCATAAGCCCCTTCCCTGCATCCAGATTCAAGGGTGAGGCCTTCTACCTGCCGAATATCCCTGATGCCTACCTCAAGGCATTTGGCTCAAGGTGTTTGCACGTGAACCAGAGACCTATTTCCAGAGCTCTGGGAGAGGCTTCCTACTCAGCCAGAAGGAGTAGGGCTGTTTCTCTGGGCAAACAAACTTACTGCGACACTTAGTGGTGCCTGATCAGCTCCAATGCTCATCAGGCTTGTGCTCCAGAGTGGGGATGGGCAGTGGGGAGTAAGGGAAGGCCAAGCTAAGCAAATAGTGAAACAAAGAGCATCCCTTTATTGGCCTCATCAGTGACCACATGCATCCAAAAGAAACTCTAGGTGAGGGATATGACCTTGCAGGAAGCCAGAGGGTCAGCTTGAAAGCCTTGCGCCCAGTGGATCCTTGGGCAGGGGCAGACCCACCCTTATCCGTCAGTGCTTCCTCACTTCCCCGTGCCTCCCGACCACGGCCTCCTGCCATCATCTGGGACCCCTAACAAAACCAAGCACGAGGTGGGCATGGGCTCCCAGTGAGACCTTTGCCCAGCTAGCTCATGTTTTATCTCCCAGAATTAAGCACGTTGTGTGAACAAACACTAAAGCCTATGTTTCCTCCAAGCTTGCCTGTCTTCTTTCCTTTCCTGTGTATGGACATGGTGGGACACTCAAAAGCACAGGAACCCCGTTTGCCAGTTGCAGCGTGTGTCTGCTCTGACTTGGGCTCTGTGTTCTGTTAGGGAACGCTGTCACCAGCATGGCACTGCCTGTCTGTGTGTTGCTTCCCACTCACCTCCAAAGTCAGATGTAACCCTAATCCCCACTGTGATGGTGTCCAGAGAAGGGGCTTTCGGGAGGTAATTAGGTCATGAAGGTGGAGCCCTCACGATGGTGTTAGTGCCCTGTAAGATGAGGTGGGAGAGGTCTCACTGCCTCTCTGCTCTCCACCGTTCAAGGACACAACAAAAACATGGCCATCTACATACATGGAAGAGAGTCTTCACTTGATGCCGACTGGCCTGGCACCCTGATCTCTGACTTCCCAGCCTCCAAACTGCAATGAGCAAATTTCTGTTGTTTCAGTTGCCCAGTCTACGGCGGTCTGTTACAGCAGCCCGAACGAAGACACATGGCTATGAATGTGGATTCCCAGATGAACACGATCCCAGAACCAAGTCTGGGGAACATGCTGACTTGTTCTACAGAAAGGCTCCTCCTCCCACCTCCCGTCAGGCAGATCCTGAGTTGAGTCTCCCAGTGTGCACGCTGTTTAGAAAAGTCAGCTCTGGTTAGGAAAGGCACTAAAGCTTGAGAACAGGGGCAGCAAGCAGGGTCAGTACACGTTACATGAATACAGACAGAAGTGAAGTGCGGGTATCCCATTCACTTTAAGTGAGAATGTAATGAAAAATCAAGACTAGGTGTCGTGAGCAAGAGATTCTCTTTCTGTTAGGATCCTGTAAGGGCAATGTGAGGCAAGAGGCCAGGAGTAATGGTTGCAACGTAAGATTTTAAAAAACGGCTTCAACAACCATGTAAATGCTAGAATTCAACAAGGCGGGGGGAGAAGTGTATGCAGTGGGTAAAGTGGGGGTGTTGGGGTTTAATCACATGGGCTCAAATCCTGGTTTTTCTGTTTGCTGTGCGGCTTTGCGTAACTTACCAAACTTCATGAATTTTAGTTTCCTTACCTGTAAAACGTGGATAATAACTTGACCTAGCACAATAAGACTGATGTGAGGATTAAATAAGATAATGTATTCAAACTGGTGTACAACAAGCATTCAAGGAGTGTTAACAGTAGATACAGTGGTATAACTGGCACCTCCCATACCCTAGAATGGGTCCTCATGGGATGCAAGGGTAGGGCGCCAAACTCTTGAGTCAAGGGAACTAGCGAGCAAGCCTACTTTTTATTTTAAAATGAAGTAATTTAACAACAACAACAACAAAAAGCACAACACACATAAACAAGATGCAGGTGAGGTGGGATCAGGGTCAGGAGAGAGCAGGAAGCCAAACTCCCATAAAACCGCTACATAAACCACCTAGACACTTCCCTCTCCCTAAATCAGAATGGATTTCGGTGACCAAGCAATCAGAACCACAATCAATGAAATGCAGAAACGTTATGTACACCTCAACCTCATTTACCTATGCTCCCCCCCACCCCCCCCCACCCACCACCCACCCCACTCTCAAAACTCTCCAACATTAGCCAAAGCATGTTTGGTTTTCTGGAACTGCAAACATGAAACGGGGGGACGGGGCAGGGACCCAAAGAAGCATAGCAGGAACAAAGGGAACAATGGGTTGGGGCGAAACCATGCTTTGCAGGACAGGAAGTCTAACCTAGAGATCTTTCTCTGACCCAGAGTGAAGCGGATGATTTTGCTTTGAGATGAGTCCTTGGATGATGCACTGTATGATGGGAAAAGAAAAAAGTGGAAGAGCTGAGTGAGGGAGAGAAGATACATTAGACACACAAGTAACAGCAGGGGTCTTAGGACAATGGGGACGCTCTGGTCTTCTCTCCGCCCGCTTTCCCCACAACATGCAGCTTTCTTTCCAGGCCTAACTATTCTGATTTGATGAATTCCCAAGGTGAAGCAACTGCTATCAAGATTATCAAAACACGTTTGAGGTTTCCTTTTTTCTTTTCAAAACCCAGTATCATCTTTTGCAACCAGTCGCTCTAAGGCCTTTTCCCACAATAAAACGTTAAAGCAAGGGGTCTCTGACATGTTAAAAACAAAAAACTTGATGCCTTTCTAAAGGACACAGATGGTTTTATACCACATGCCTGTTCTCCCCGGGTGCTTTTCTGATGAATATCCTGAATGTCCTGCAAAGTTGACCCAAAAAGGGTATAGATGTTTGCCAGTTTTGTTGGTCTTGGAAACTTTTGCTTAGTGGTTTAAAAATGATCATTTAAAGTATTCTGAATGTACTAAGTTTTGGGCTATAAACCATAAATTCGTACATCTGAAAAATCTTGGTTGGGCTTAATCAAAGAAAAAGTTTTAACTCCTTTACTGACTTACGAAAGATGGAAATACTTACCTTTCTTGAATCCATACATGCTATACCATGTCATAAAATGATCTGAGGTAAGAAATACAATGTTGGCTCTATAAATTAAGAGAGCCAAGTTTGAAGAATACTGTCCATACCTCTTTCTGAAGTAAAGGAAGAGACAGAAGGGAATAGACAAAAAAAATTTTTTTTTAAATAAAGCAATTTTCTGGATTTTCCCTCAACAGCTGAATACTGATAATACGCAAGGTGGACACAGATGGAGAGGGAAGTAAGTCTTGGGTTCTAGGCTCCTCCCCTAGACTCTGGGCTGGAGAGGAGCTTCAGGAGGTAGAATGTGGATCGAGTTCTCGGCCATCACGCAGGTTAGTGAGAAGAGCTGCAGTAAAGAGATGGAAGTGACTCTCCATTTGGCCATCACTGGAAACGTTGCTCTGACTCCTTCTTGCTAATGTCTCAAATTTCCTTGGCCAGCGCCAGCAACGCCTCTTTCCACAAACATGATGGAAAAGTTGCCAAGTTTTAGCATTTATTATCCCAAGAAGTATAGGATTTAGGCACATTCATATGTGACAAAGTTCAAACACAGAATCAAAACAAACCTGGAATTTTGGGCTTGTACCAACACTGGACACTGGTGATCAGGGATTGAAACCATCACCCTTGTGATTTTGGTTATCAGAGGCAGAATGTACGGAAAGTAATACAATCGAATGGAGCCAGTGAGGCAATTTTACTATTTTTTTTAAAAAATTAATAGCCAGAATGCTAGCATATCCTTCGAGCTGGAAAACAGGATTAGCCTCTGGATATAACACGGGAAAGTATCAGTATATAATGGAGAAAGCCCGTCCTCTGCAGAAGTAACCCAATCTGGACAAGATAGAGGAGGAGCAGAGACAGACAACAACTCCAAAGACCAGTCCCTGTCCCCGGCCATGATGGCAGGAACCATTCTGGAATATAAAAGCTTGGTTTGGGTGAGCTTGGCTCATCTTTACATAAAGCATTTATTAATAGCAGGATGCTTTTTCTTACTGGCAGATAGGTGTCCTGACTTTGGAGAAAACAAACTCTGTCATGAAAATGGATGCCTCGGGCTGGCCCAGCCCAGTGACACAAGCCCAGGGTTGTCCCACTCATGTTCCTTGGAACTCGAGGCAGCGAGGTGCTCTATAAAGTAAGAGTTCTGGTGCCAAGTTTTCTATGCCCCTCCCTGACTTCCTTATCTCAATAAATACCACTTCCCTCAATGCTCAAGCCAGAAGTCTAGGCTTTATCTGGGAGTTTCCCCCGTCACTCCAGATACTGAATCTGCCGTCCCGCTGGTCCATCCTCCAGAACACCCTGAGTCGGTCCATCTCTCTATCTGCTCCACCACCCGGACCCCAGCCACGACCGTCCAGAGGGCCGCAGAAGCTGCTGACCTGGGGTCCTTCCTCCTCTTCCTACTCTCCAGAGAGAAGCACAGGGGACCGTTTAAAAAAATTTAAATCAAATCAACTCCCCCTCCCACTCAAGACTCTCCAACGGCCTCCTGTCACATTTAGAATGGAATACAAACTTTTCTCCAGTTTGGCCAGCGTTCTGTGACCTGTCCTCAGAGCCATAGTGCTGCTCAGGTCCAGGGGACACCAGTCACACTGTATTCCATGGAAATAGTGGCAGTCCTCTCTGCTCCTAGGCCACCTTTTAACTCCTCACCTCCCCCACCCACTTAGCTCCAGCTGCACTAGCCGTTCTGCTTCTCCAGTCTGCCCAGCTGCTCCGATCATGGGGCCTTCGTGTCCGCTGCTCCCTCTGCCTGATCTACTCCACACCTGACCTCTGCTTGGCTCACACCTTATTCATGTTTCAACTTCGGTGACGTCCTCAGAGAGATCCTCCTATAGACCCAATGCCTCCGAACCCCATTGTCTTATTGCAACTCCACTATCTGATATTTCTCTTCCCTGTTTATGTGCCTGCTTCCTCTAATAGAATTTAGAGAGCGGACACCTTGGCTATCTCATTCACCCGTGACTTCCCTGGCGCCTGCAACAGTGGCTTGCACACAGAAGTCATTCAAACGCTGACTAAATAAATGCCTGTGGGCAGATTCAAGGTTCTGAGAACTTCAGTAACAGTTATAATGACTTGATCAGGATTATTTCCCAATTTTTCCTGCATAGGAACCTTCCCCTGGCAAATTATCACCCAGGGAATAAGGACCCAAAAGAATCAGGGTGGGAAGTGGCGTCCTGGTCACTCGAGCATGCAGGTCAGGCGGGGAATCTCCGATGAGACAGTGGACCTTCAGGGGAAGGCACAGAGGCCGGCTGCCTGCCTGGCCGTCTATTTCTCACTGCTGGCCCAGGCATCTCTGCTGGCCCACAAATTCCCATAATGCGAATTGGATACACCTGGACAATTCATTAGGGGATCTGATTCACATCACACCCATCACTGGTGCTTTTAACAGCATCACAATTGGGAAACAGCCCTTCTCATGGTGAAAAAAAAAAAACCCTGTCTATAAGGTATCTGTTTTGTTTGAGCTGCTTTGCGCTTTGCCCACTAAAGTGGCTAGTAAGGGTGTGAAGGTGTGCAAGAAGCCCTATCATTTTTAATTCTGGTGCTCCGGGACTAGAAGGAGGCAGCCATTACTCTTCAGCACATATTAAATAAAACTAAGCAATCAATTTGATCAGTGACATTGAGGTTTGATAGCTAAAGGTTTACAGCCTAAAACGAACAACAATTATTAGGGACTTTTCTCAAACTTTCTAATTCCTAATCTCCTCCTTTTTTTCCCTGTCAGCAAAACAAATGTTTTACAAGGGGATCTTTCGCAGAGTTGTTTAGGACGGCAACTATTGTCACTGTCACACAGTAGACGCTAGCCACCTTGGCCCTCTGTCTGAACATCATTCTGTGGCGAGCCCCACTGGCAAGCCTCAGTCCCTCCGGGAACAGCAGCAAAACCCAGGCCCTAGCCCTGCAAAGCAGAGGATCTCCGGCGACACAGCTCCCCATGCTCCAAGGCCAACAAACCCCGCCACATGTCACGGTAGCCACTCCCATCCGGGGACAACGGCCCCCCTAGGGAAACTGGCTGCTTGCCAAGGACCACTTGCCATCTTTCTTCTTCATTCTTGACATGTCTCTTCAGGCAAAGCAGAGCTACCTGCTGGAGGACAACCCTGGCATCCGAAAAGTAAAATTACTCGCACGTGTAACACCGAACACCCAGCTAACAGGCAAACACACGTAATGAGTCTGCAGTCCATTTTGGGGGCTGTTGACTGCATAGGAGTGTGTGTGTCATAGGGCAGAGTTAAGGCGGGAGCAGCTAATCAGCTTTGGCCACTGTGGATTCTGACTTTAAAACGTACACATCACCGCTCGGCCCAGGAGGAAGCCTCCATTTCAAGGTCCTGCTAATTACTCACTATCAGGAGTTCGCAGCACCGAAGAAGCTTGAATAGCAAACATGTTCGAATAAGCTAGAATTAGGTCAATGTGAAGGAGGGCCCCGGAGAAAACAGAATTATCAGTTGGCAAGGAGCCCCCACCTGGACTGCATTTCGGCTTGTGCTTTTGATTGCTGATGCGGTGCTGGCTGGTGAGGCTGGCACGGGGCTTGGGGAGTGGCTGGCACCTGTTGCTGAGGAGTGCCAGCCTGGCACTGGAAGGGGGCCCCGGCCGCCTGGGACACGGCAGGCGGCAGCGGCGAGGAGAGGTGCTGCTTCGGGGGCTGCTGCTGCTGCTGCTTGTACCGGGAGAGGCTGAAGAAGAGGCCTAGAATGGCCTTGAGGTTTCCATTCCTGATTTCTGCAAGACAATGGAGACAGTGGTTAGTGGAGGAGTCCTTCCTCGCCCCAGTTCAATGGGCTGCTGCAGCCCTCACGTGTGTTGCATTCCGAAATCCGAACACTTATGTAACTGGTATCACCAGTCAAATAAAATCTGGCCTCAACCACAAAGAAATTAGCTTCTTCTCCCTGCTGGGATCAGAGTGGATATAGAAGGCAAGTTGCAACTGGAGGTCTGGCAAATGCCAGGAGGAAACTCTCAGGAAGGACATAACCAGAAAAGTAAGAGTCCCAAGCAAGACAGGGCTTGTTCTAGGGGCAAGGCAAACCATCGGGGACAGCGGAACTCTCTGGCACCGGCGGAAACTCGCTGGTCTTCACGGGGCTCTGCCAAGCCCGCGTTCTGTTCTACGCTTTGAGCCACCTGGAGTGTGCCAAATGGCTGCTGTCCCACTCCCAAGTCCTTGCTCTGCTTTACCTGATCCCTCTGCTCTCAAACACATGACTCTGTGTCTCTTGTCCGCTCAATAAATAATTTCAATTTGGGATGGGTGCGGGGATAGCCTATAGGACTTGCTTCTGTAAAGAACTCATGCAAACATTCTCCTATGTTAAAACAAATTAGAGCACAGTGGAGATGTGAAAACTTTTATTCCAGATGGAACTTTTCAGATGTTAAAGTATAAAGAGCTGCAGAGGAGAAATAAAATATTTATTCACAGACAGAGGCTATGGACGCGAGGGTGTATCTTCTAGGGCAATCCCTTCTCGTATGCAGGTCCTTTTAATACCAGATGTGATAACCAGGGTCTGAACTAACCCTGAGCATGAAGTAAAAAGATCACGCAGCATGAGGGACACCGAAAGAGGAAGTTCGGGGGCTCCCGAAGCTGAGGGAATGAGGTCAGAGGAAGGGAGGCCTCACCTGCGCAGGTGACACAGACCCCCAGGTTGGTTAGCCCCAGGCTGGGCAAGAGTCTGCTGATACAGGAAAGGTGTTTCCTCCAAGGACCAGCTGAAGGGCAGAGGTGTGAATGGGGTCCTGCCAGTGCCCTGGGCGGGGCTGCTGCTGAGACCAGGCTGAGTTCCGGAGAAACTGACAATACAAACTCCTAGAATCCAGCCTTCACCGTCTACTTTGGGAGCTGGTACGTTCTGAGTGTGGAACAAAACCGATAGGAGCACAGCTTCTGGAAAACCGAAGCTATGAGCTGCAGTGTGTTCTCTACCACTTCCTAGCTGTGCAACCCTGGGCCTGAGTGGCGATTCTGACACAGCTGCCCCATCACCCAAGGCTGTTCTACAGGTCAAATGAGAGCATATACATGAAAGCACGCTGTGAACAGTGAGGTCCTTCACCGATCTCGGTTTCAATGTGACGAGTGTAGCCCCTGTGTGAGATTCCCATACAGCTCCAGCTTCAAGTCTTTAAAGAGAGGATTTTTACTATGGTGAACTTACAATTTATTGTGCAAACCATAACCCCTTTGAGAGTGGGGGGCGGGTGCTCTTAATTTCACCAGGATGACAGGTGTAAGCCAGGAGTGACCTGGGCGAATCAGGGTGCTTACAAACCACAGTGTGCAATGCAGGGAGCAGAGAAGGCCCCAAGGAGGTGGCCAACCCCTGGGCTTCTTTGGATAGTTCAGCTTTAACCCTTCAACTCTGCTTCAGTTTCATCCTCAGGAAACCAAAAGAGAAGCACACGTCTTTTAAATGTTCTTACAAGTGCACCAGGGCCAGGGAACGGGAGGCTTGGACAAAACAGTGCAGTTGGCTTTTTTTCCTCCTGGAAAAACAGAGGGGGAAGGGACACGCCTCTGGTCGCTCAGCTGGATGGTGATGGGAGTTAGGGACAGATTCAAGAGGAGACAACAAGAGCTGGCATGGAACTTGGGACACTAGACAATTTCTCCTCACAGACGAAATCTAGGTATGGCTTTTAGTGCCTTTTTTAATTAGTATGTACCAGGTTTAGCTCCTCCATGAATGATCTCATTCAATCTCTACAACCTGGGAAGTGAGTATTAGTATCCCTCTCTTACTTGAGGGGAAGCAGAGGCTTAGAAAAGTTTTATGGCCTCCCAAGGTAATAAATGCCGGAGCTGGGATTTGAATCTAGGTTGTTCTGGCTCCGAGCCTGGTCTCCTAACACTGTAGAACTTGGCTTGCTCGTATACTCATCCTGTGCGGCGAATTTAAAAGCACACTAGACAATGTTTTATTAAGCTAGCTGGTGGTCATCTAAGTATTCTTTGTTCTTCTTCTATAAGTACTTTTGTTATGGAATGTGTCAAACATTCCATAATACATTTTTTTAAACCATTGCAAGCAAAACAAAGAAGGAACTTGCAATCTGCATATCCAGGGGATCAGAGGTTGTTCACCACAAAAGGCTGGCGTGTTCACATCAGCATCCTCATTACCTACCAGCCCAGCCCAGGCAGACGAGGAGTCAGCTTTGTTGCCTTCTCTACCTGTTGTGGCCATTAAGCCATTTATTGTCCATAATGGTTTGTTGCATGATTCCCTAAAACATCTTTTTTATTTGTGAAAGAGCACAATGCTCCCATAAACACATTTTTTCTTAGGAGGTAACATTTTTACTCTAAGAGTCACTGGTTTTTGGAGCCAGGAAAACGTGGGTTTACGTCCCTATAGCCTTTCATTTATAGACTTGGAGTACTTGCAAAATTCAGCTCTGAGCCTCGGTTTCTGTCTTTAAAATGGGCAGATGTGTGCTTCACCTTTCCCACCGGGTTGTTACGAGAATTAAGTTCAGACTAAATGAGAAAATGTGTACAAAGCACCGAGGATGCCACCTGGCTCAGAACTCCCTTTTGCAGTTCAGAAAGTGTCATCCCTCTCCCTGCAGCCTCCTCAGAACTCACTGCAGGGCTCCTTGCCTCGGGGCAGCCTGAGCAGGGGCTGCTGTCCCCGCCCCGCCCCGCCCCTCTGTGCCAGGCGCAGGTGTCAAGAAGGAGATCAGTCATGGATGAGCTCATGTTAGAGAAAACTCAATGGCAACCTTCTTTCTGTTGTTTTTTTTTAACAGTTTTTTTTTTCAGGTATAATTCACATCCATAAAATTAAATGTACGATAATTTTTAGTAAATTTAGTACAATTCTAGTTGTAAAACGTATCACTTACCCTGAAAAGAAGCTTCATGCCCACACGAATTCAACTCCCGTGCCAGTCCCAGGCCACCTCTAACCTGCTCTCTGTTGTGACAGATTTGCCTTTTCTGGACATTTCAGATAAAGGGAATCATGCAATAGGTAGCCTTTTACAGCGGGTGTCTTTCACTGAGCATAGAGAATTTAAGGTTCATCCATGTTTGTGTATTTATCATGAGTTTCTTTACATTGCTGAGTATTATCCCATTATATGGATATACCACATCTCGTTTATCCATTCACCAGATGGTGGACATTTGGACTGTTTAATTTTCTTTTCAGAACACAAAACTCAAGAGGGGCGAAGGCTCTGTCTGGGGTGGAAAGCCACACAGTTTATGCTACAGGTGGTCTGTAACAGACAGTACCCAAAATAGCCAGAACTGTGTTCCTCCCATCCTTCTAAATGTCATCCGTCTAGGTTTCAGGAGGTCTGGTAACCCTGCCTCACAGGCCGTCTGAAAACAAAGTGTCATTCTGCCAGCCCACAAAAATGTTTGCCTCCTGACATTTCCCAAGGCTTTGGAGGGAATATCGTTTTGTATCTGATCGACTATTCTCACCCTCTTGATGCCTAAGGAAAACAATGTAGACCTAGAGAGAGTTGACTTATCCAAGGAGACACTGGCTAGCTGGTGTCTAAGTCAACAGAACCCTGCTCTCCTTTCTCTTCAGGGCATCCCCCTGTAAACTGAAGAACAAACTACATAACCATATTCCAATTTCCATGAGAATTCAGTAGGCTTGACTCTGAATCTCTGTGGGTTCTGACTGATCTCTTTGTTCCCATTGGCTGGTACTAATCTACATAGATGCTAGAGGGAATGTTAAGCACAAAGGGTAGAATAAATAGGAGAGTTATTTTCTTTCAACATTATTTAAGAGAAACCACAGGCCTAGTTTACAAAGGAATAATCTAACACAAAGAAACCTGCTTGGTAGGGAAGCAGGGATTGGAAGCCAAAGGGAGGGTTGCCTCAGACCTCAGAGTTGCAGGATCCCTATTCAATCGCCTTAAGCCACGGTGGGTGGTATAAAGCCCTGCCCAGCTGACAGGGACTTGGGATCGTATGGCATTATTCCTCCAGCTGAGCCTTCTACTCCACCTGCATTCACCATGGAACTTTCCACCTGACTCCTGCAGCCCTTCCGTGCACCGCTTGCCAAGCTGGCAATGACTCTACCCACAAGGGAAGTGGCTTGAGGGGGTGGGAGCAGAGCTTACAGGGCCCCTTCTGGTGAGGGGTAGAAATGGTCCCACAGGCACCACCAAACTCACCTGTTGCTTTCACACAAAGGATCCAGAAAGACCTCCTGCTTTCTGGCTCAGGATGAAAGGAGAAGCAAGCTCAGCATTCTAGGTCTCTAGGTCTAGGTTTCTTGCAGAAAACCCAGGTCTGAGCTCATCAACTAAGCAACTGATTTCCCTTCAAAAGCACACTTCTTCCCAAAGGCATCTGGAAGGATCCTCCTGCCTCTTTCTGCAATCCACAAGACTGATGAAGAGCCAGTCCTTTGCTCTCATCATGTTACCCACACCCCATCTCCTCTCTAGATTTCCCTTCGCCTTCCTTTTCTGTCTGGGGAATGCTGAAGCATCCCGTAAAAAAAGCCCAGGGGATACATCGGGGTATCTCTGGAGCCCCTCTGGCTGCCCCAGGAAGAGCTGCTCACTGCCTTTCTTTGGGCACCACTGGGCTCTGCCACATACCATTAGCACAGCTCTCTGATTAATTGGAATGAAGGCCAGTTTTGCATGACATAGCGGCTTTCTGTGTACCCCAGTGCCTAGCGCTATCCCTTGTATATAGGATGTGCCCAGCAAACATTTGGTGAGCTAAACAGGATAAGCCCTATCTCCGGACCTCCGCTTCTCCAGTACAGGAAGATGGGCTCGGAGCCAGGTGGCCAAACCCCAGGTGGTCTCAAACTCTCAGGGATGAAGGCCATACTTCCTCCCAGGGACAGGTTTACAGATGGTCATGACAGGTGGCACCCAGGGCAGGGTGAGGCCCAAGCTCACTGGACTCGTGCAAGTCTCCAAGAGCAAACGGGTGGGTCTAACCTTTGGGAACAGAGAGGGGGCAGGGAGGCCTGGTCTAGGGGATGTGCCTCCAACCAGCAACTTCCCACAGGGCTCACTTGGGCCTGTAGCCTCTGCCGCAGGCATCAGCTCTCTGTGCCCAGAACAAAGGCTCTCTGTGGCTCTCTAACAGGCAGGTCAGGGCAGGGCCCTGGCTGCTGAAAGGCTTCGAGGACAGGTGCATACACCCTCCTGGGTCCAAAACTAGCTTTAGTCACTGGGAATGGGTGGGGATATACCTACGGGGCTTTCCAACTGCTGATTTTTTTTTTTTCATCAGGAGCAGCCTCAAGGCACTCAATCGTCTTCAAAAGGAAAATAAAAAGCATTAAAACTACAGTATTTCTTTAAGCACTTTAATGCTTTTCTAGTAGTTAAACAGGTGGTTGGAAGTGTGGGTAGCAGTGAGTAGTAGAAAACACTGGGCCTTTGAATCAGCAGATGTGAGAAGCTTATCCACTGCGGACCTTGTGGGCCTCCCCTTTCCCATGTGCAACGTAACCTCTTCAGGCCTCCTTTTCCTCATCTGTATGACTTGGATATTGTGAATACTGACCTTGTAAGGTTGCTGGGGGAATTAAACAAGATATAAAATGTTACGGCATTTATTAAAACCTCAGTGACTGACACATGGTGAGTTCTTAACAAATGGTTTCTATTCCTGCCCTGGCTGGTGTAGCTCAGTGGATTGAGCACCGGCCTGCAGACCAAAGGGTCTTCGGTTTGATTTCCAGTCGGGGCCCACGCCTCAGCTGTTGGCCATGCCCCCAGTAGGGGGCGCTCGAGAGACAACCACACATTGATGTTTCCCTCCCTCCTTTTCTCTCTAAAAATAAATAATAAATAAAATCTTTAAAAAAATGGTTTCTATTTCCACAATTTAACCACATGTCAAATGAGATATATGTAACCCTGAAATTGTGAATAAGGTCCATTTGAGGCTAAAGGCTTGAAGTACCCTTGCTTTTCAAGTTGAGAGCTGACAAAGGTTGGGGCCAGTCACCATCCCTTAAGATTGTAGAAGTTGAGAATCAGTCTTACCACCACACACCATCGTCATCACCCCTCACTTCCCAAGAAATCAGTATAAGGAGACCTAGATGGGAGAAAGGCACTGAGGGTACAGGAGGGAGGCAATGTTTGATGATCACAGAGTCAGAGTATCTCCTCCCTCACCAAGGAGCAAGAAGGTGGGGTTCCCGCACTGCTGGCAGTCAAAGGCAAGGAGGCTCTAAAAGAATCACTCCCAGTGAGGGTGCTGGCCTTCTAGTCCCCAGCTGAACACCTGCTTAGCAGAGACTTGGCAGGTCTGCCTCTTGGCCACCTGAGTGAGGGGAAAGCTGTGGAAAGACCACATGGTGGGGGACTTCCCAGTGACAGGCAGCCTGTTCTACCTGCTGCAATGGAAGATGGAGGCCACACCTTCCCGCTGGTTCCATGGTGAATAACAGAAGGATCGTGAGACCAAGGTCTACGGCCTTACAAGGAGCACCTTAGTGTGGGGACAAAGGGTGGCCTGAATCAGGGGGAAGGGACCAGCTAGAAAGGAGTTGCGAGGGCTGGTCAAATCTCACAAAAGTCAACCAAGGCCCAGGCAGCAGCAGGGGCGTTAGTCCCTGGCCAGCGGGGCAGAGACTCCCACCCAGGGACCGCGGCAATTACTCAAGAGGAAGACAGCAACATTACGACCAGCGAAATTGTGCTTCTCTCTGCTGTCCCCATGCTGGAGCCTCAGGCATTGGAACGAGGGAAGGGAAAGGGAGTCAAGTTATCGTGCCTCCATCGCCCTTCAACCTTCCAAAGCCACCTGCACTGGGAGTCATGGGGGAAAGGAGCTTCTGAGTGAAGTCTGAGCTTGAAGCTTGAAAATGAACAAGATTGAGTCATAAGTCTTGACATAAAACTGTTCTAATAATGAGCATGACAGAAGAGTTAATAGATTCCGCCAAGGTCTCACTGAGTGAGTCTCGACTCAGCAGGAAATGTGGGGAATCAAAACAGCACAGTTAGAGGTAGTTACTGAAATGCCATAAACCTACTTCATAGTTCTATCCCAATAACTAGTACCCCAACAAACTGGTTACACGTGTGCCTCTCTATGCCCAGACTCATGGGCGGCAACATCTACGAGGGGTAGAGGGCTGAGCGTCTCTGCACGACATGCCTCCCCGGGCTCCATGACACCTTCTGAGCCTGCAGTCCAGGGAGCAAAAACTTCTCAACGTTTCTTGCTGCCTTCCACCTGGTACAGGGCATGCCTAGATTTTATCCACCTGCTGTTCCGCAAGGCACCATGAACATGAGCTCTGAAGTCACAGAGACCTGGGTTTAAATTCTGACTCTGCCATTCGCTGGCTATAAGCCTTAGGGCTGTCACTCACAACATCTTTAAAACCAAGACTGCCTCATCTGTAAACTCAGCCTATTATAAATTCCACCTTCAGTGGTTGGGGGTGTATGGAGATGAACAAGGCAGAAGGCAGAGCAATGGGTAGAGAGACGGCAGAGTGGCCAGATGCCCACAACCCAAAGAGTCCTTTTTGCTGAGCAAGGCTGCAGAAGTCCTGCTGATGCTCTGCCCAGGGGCACAGGCTGGTGGTCCAATCTCTCCCAGAAACCAGAAGGAGCACGTGCCTGCCACCTACAGGCCCGCATGAGAACTCTACACCAGGAGAAAACACACTCAGAAGGGTAAGCTGTGTCTCCCTACCTATCCATGAAATACGATCCATCAATCATTCTGTGCCCCGGCAACATGCATGCCACGTGTCCTCCCACCCGCATCTCAAACTGCTGGAGGAGGGCTCACACCCCAAGGGTGAGGGAATCCGCCAAGGATCCTCCTCTCAGATCTGGGCATAGGGCTCACCACCCAACAGCTGCTGCAGAGACCTCTGATAGCAGCGTGACCATGCCTGACATGGGACGTGCCCCACACATCTGAGTTCCCACGAGGGGAATTCCAAAGTTCCCACTCCAAGACACAACACACCCATGAGATACCAGTTGTGGCCACCCCCTGTCCCCAACGCTGGAAGAGTTTGCACTTCAGAAATCCAGCCAGGAAAAGCAAGCTTTCCCTGCAGAGCAGAGCAGAGGCAAGAACAGGCCCCAAACGAACCCGTCACGTTTGCAAACTTACCTGCTCCTCATGGCTGCTTCCTCCCTCACTGCTCCCCTCCTCCCCACCCTGGCCCCTGGAGGGGATGCTCAAAGGCATCTTTTCGGAACCCAACCTTGCTAGGGAACAGCGGTGTCATCCGAAGCCCAAACTGCTTTACCTGTTCTGGGAAAAGTGGAGGCAGGTGCAGCCTAATGAGTTTGGGAGGATGCCGGGGCCTGTGGCAGCTTCGGAGCTGGCAGCTGTTTGTATTTACAAATAGGAGACAGAGGGAAAGTTTCCAGAGCAAGATGTTGCCCAAGGAGCCTGGGAATTCAGACCAGCCATCTCCGGGCCGATGCCTAACTGAATAGCAAACCACCAGCAAACGCTAATGTGCTAATTAGCCACCAAATTTGAGTTCATTAAAAACTAATCAGGATGTCAAAATGTACCATCTCATTAATATATCAAATGCTTTTTCATTTTTTTTTTAAGCTAGGAAAAGTACTGCTTCTTCTAATAAAAGGAAGAGATAAAGATTAGGCATTTCTCCCTGGGAACTGTGCAGTTTAAATATGTTCTGTGGTTAAGTGTTCTCTGCCCCCCAGATAAGGCCTGGCTTGATAATTAACTGAATTGCTAGTCAGGTGAATAAAATCGGCATTGTTTGATTAAGCCCTTCTCAAAGAGAAGCAGCTCTGGCAGACATGGCCAACATGGCTGAATATGCATTCTTGGGAGTGATTCTTTAGGTTGTCAAAAAGTTGGCACCCTCAAGTCCAGACAAGCATTGAGATGCCTCCAAACCAGAAGGAAGACAAAACCAGAAGAGCCCAGCAGCATCTCGCGTCTTAACTACATTCATGTTGTCAATAAGTAACAGGTGGGCCTTTCTAATGACGGAAAGGCAGCTTCATGACAAGTGTTGACTCACCTTCTGCAGACAGTCCCTGAATGTTTATTCCCTTAGCTGCCAGAAAGTTCAAGCAGGCATCTATGTTTTCAATCTAGAAAGAAAAAACAAAACAAACAATAATATACACTCAATAAATGTTCAGCCTTCTCCAGAGCCATCTCTTATTAGACACAAAGTGTTATGTCAGAGAGAGGGTTCCCTGTGCATTCGCTGAAGTTCTTGACAAGGAAAAACAGAAGGACATGAATGGATGCAGGTCAGGACTCTCCTTTGTCTGTACTTGCACAGGAAAAGGTTACCTAATATCCCAACCACACAGAGCCAAAAGTGGAGGCCTTAGATGGCTCATAGCTGCCAAAAATAACCAGGGTGGAACTGGAGCTCCTGCGTTGATCAATGTCACCGGTGAAATCCTGAACACTTGAGCAGCTGCCAGAAAAATGGAGTTGGGGACGAGGTTAAGACGCCCACCCGTCTACTAGCAGCTGGGAGAAATTTCTAGCCACCGAGGCAGCAGGCAGTCAAATGGACAATCACGAATGGGAGTTTCAGCAGGAATCTGGGTAGTGTTTACTCACAGAATTCTCAGGATGGCATGCATCGTGGAGGACTGGGGAGGGCTGTGACCTCTCGCTGAACCCCTCTGTCCTTCTTGTTCTCTGTGGCAAGAGGGGGCCCACCGGACAGAGGGCTGGAGGCCTCCCACCTTTGCCGGGCCTGATGCCATAGCCAAGGGCGAGCCAACGTCCAGCCCACACGAAAAAACAATTAGGTCATTCCCAAAGGTCTGATTCAACTTCAGTTGTCGGGGCTAATTATGTTTTGGTCTACAGGAAAATGTTTGGGCTTGATTAATGTCAATGGTGACCATCAGTGAAAGGAATTGCTTTTGACTTGACACAGGGATCTTTGAATTTCCCACAATTTACATTTCACAGTGGAGATCCCTCCCACCTCCCCAACCCCCCAACACCCACCTGACCTACCAGGTGCCACGCACATTCTTATGAATCCAAACAAGCATTTAACTCATGGAATTTATTTCTCATAAATGAATGACTGTCTTTGACAGTGTACATGTGACCACTCTCCTTCCCCTTCCCCAAGCAATATCCCAATGGCTCCTCCATAGCCAGAAAGAGAAACATCTACATGTTAAGAGCTCTAATTTGAGTAGAGTCTGCTCCAGTCTCCTAGCAGTCTTCCTGAAGGTCACGTCCACCCTCCCCCTGATACCAAAACTTCCCTTCTCTACTTTCAGTCTTCTCATATTCCCAATGCTTTAATTCAGCTTTGGGACACTTGAATAAAACTCCACCCATTTTAGAAGAATCCATAAACCTTGAGTTTGTGGTTGCCCCATCCTTGCATTTTTTAGCTTAGGTTTGTTCCCATCTATTTCCCAGCCTCCAGCTCATCTTCAAGGAGATACTTTTTCATCTCAAGGCAAGGGGGCAGAATGCAATTTCCTGCAAACTAAATAAATGCTGGTTATGGCTGCCACCATCACAGAACATCACTTTTATAAAGAGGGGGGAAGAGTGAGTTAGCTTTTAACTCTCTTTGCTTCTTTCCAGCCCAGAATGACTGACAGTGACAACTAGGTGCTACCATCTTGGAGGGAGGGAGGGCGGGGCAGGGCGGGGAGCAGAAGAACATGGCTGGAGGTCCCTGTGGAAGGTGTTTCGGAGCAATTTGCTTCTATTTGGAAGTATAACAAAAACACCTCTCAATGCTATTTTACCCTATGACAAAACCCAGATTTTGAGAAATTAATTACCACTCCCTATTTATGCTATTGAACACAGTGGCAATATACCAAAATAACTCAAAACAACTCATTGCTCACACAAAGAGAGACTGGTATTTAAATCACAGTAAAATGATAAAATTTCTCTTCTACCCCGTCTCTTCCAATAATCCTATCCTATTTCTTTAATATATTATCTTGCACATAATTGATAAGCAAGGTTTTGGCAATTATGTTCCCATGGAAAACAAGGAAAAGAAAAAGCTGACCACTCCTGAATCTGTTAATCAAAAAACACAAATAGTACACCTGATATTATCCTGGCATGTGTCATGTAGATGGACTGACATGGGTTAAGTTTTTTCAACAATAGTGCAGCAGCATGACACTAAATTAAAAGACACCCACTGACATATTCAGGAAAAACACTGCTCTACTACCATATTGTAATTCTATAGAAATATCCTTCCAAGGAACACAAAGAACATTTACTTGTCCCATTCATGGAGCATGCAAGGCATATCATTTAAAGTGTATAGCAGTAATTTCTCCTTGCAAGGCTACGCTTGGTATACTTCAATTCATCCATCTACTGGGCTTTCTTTTAATGTTAAAAATCTATTAAAGGAATGAATAATTATAAATAGGTTACCTAGAATACTATTTTTCCTCCTATTGAGTTTTAAAGCCCTGTTATTCTTTCAATGAATTGCATAAGTTAGATTAGTAGTTCTCCACTGGGTGGGGAGAACGGGAGAGAAGGGGCAAGGATTTTGCCCCTCAGGAGACATGTGACAATGCCTGGCAACATTTTGGGTTGTCACAAGAGGAGTGGGGATAGGTGGAGAACTGCTCCTGGCATCATGCTGCTAAACATACTACATTGCACAGGACAGCCCCCACAACAAAGGAGTATTGAATCCAAAATGTCAATAGTGCCAAGATTGATAAACCTGAGTCATAGGATCCTTTTAATCATTCATCCAATCAATGTAATTGTTTGCATTCTGCTCTATGCCAAGCACTGTGCTCGATTCTCTCGACGGTGATGCTCTGGGGTCCTCCCCTCTCTCCACATTTATATAATGCTTCTCTTTGGGGTCCACAGACATATTCAACACACACACCCCTACCTCCATCCATTTCAGGGAGAATCGGGCCATATAAACAAAGAAAGCATGAGGACCTTCTCTCACTAGGTGAAGAGAAGAAGTGCTTTCTCCTAAAGAGATGAAACAAGGAGCAACATACAGATGGCCACGCTGCACTCCCTGAAAATGTTAAAACTAAAAAAAAAAAAAAAACAAAAACAAAACTTGGGTCATCATTTAAAAGACAATTCATAGGCCCATCAAGAGCCTTGAATTTTTTTTTCCCCTCTACTATGAATTCCCTGGTCACAGGAGGAGCTCAGAAAACATTCCTGAGTCTCAAATCCACCCTTTAATAATGCTCTGTTGAGGTTAAAAATCACTCCTCCTGACAAGGCGGCCGAGACCCACGCGCTTCTCATCTGCACCCCAGGAAGAGAGCGGAGCTGGGAAGCAGAGCGGGGTCGGATGTGAATTCCAACCTCCGGCTTCACTTGGAATGAGATCAGAAGGCGAGAAAGTTCCTTTGATCCAGGCTCCCTTGTGATTAAAATTCACCTTAAGGTTTTCTTCCAAATACTGTCCAGGTAAACAACCCATCTTCGTGTCCCACTGAGACTGCAAACTGCCACTAAACCCGGCGAGGGGAACAGCCGGGTGGCAGGAGCCCGGAACTCATTACAGCACAAGGGAGTCCTCGGGCCCCTCTTTAACGAGGCTCATGTGTGATCCAGACACATAGTGTGAGATGAAGACCCGGTCAAAGTTGGGAGGCAGAGCAAAGGAAAAGACTCTTAACCAGCAAAGTATGTAAATACGGCCAAGGCTGTTCATTAACACATAGCGGCCAATATAAACTACTTTCCAAAATTAGCTGAAGAAATCTGTGCTAACTTGGACATTCCAGTGTTGCTGAGGGGGCAGGGTCAGAAGGCTGTTGTAGCTGTTGCCATAGCTCTGGGATGGAGTTCCTGAAGTTTACAGTGTTAGTGGAGGTGGAAGCTGGAGGCCTAGAGGTGGGACCACAGTGGGGCTCAGAGACCCTAGGAGCCGAAAGATGCTGGACCAATGAGGCAGTAGAGTTAGAGTTTAGACCAAGATGCACTTCCCGGGGCTTCCCTTTGTTTGGTGCCATTAGCGGCCTCCACCCCGCTAATGGCACCAACAGAAAAAAAATCTGCAATGAAGCCATTCTCCCATTCTCAGCCAGAGTCTCCATCCCAAAGTTGAACAGTTTCTCAACAGTTTCTGAACTTTGGACTTGGCAGAGCAACTCCCATGGACTATGCATGCTGTAGCCTTTGTCTCCCACATCCAGACATAGATCTCCACCCAAGACAGCCAGAGAGCAAGGAAAATCAAAGCAAATGCCAAACTACTGGAAACAGAAGGGGGGATAGGAGGCAAATGGAAAACTTCACATTTCAATCATGATTAAGGCTGGACTGCGTCTCATGATAACAAAGTATGCGAACCTCGGAAGCGCTGCTGTACAGCTCCTCGGTAGCTTAGAGACTGATCAAATACCATCTGTTGTGGCAGTTGTCATGGTAGCATTTTTCTCTGAATACCAGTGTAGCTGAGTGCAGAGCGCATGAAAATGATGGATACCAATGAAGACCACCCCTACTAGCAACACCGCAGCCCAGGGGAAGATGGGGCTCCAGATGCTGAGTAAAAGGGGTGCTAGTTTTTGAGTTTAAGAGCTTCTTACCAGGGCTTCCCTTGGAGACCTCCAACCTGGGAGGATGAAACTGGGAAGGGAGGCAAATAGCTGCTGAATTGAAGTCAGACATGGTCACAGTCTTTCCTTCCTTCCTTCCTTCCGCCCGTCCTTCCTTCCGTCCTTCCGTCCTTCCTTCCTTCCTCCCTCCCTCCCTCCCTCCCTCCCTCCCTCCCTCCCTCCCTTCTTTTTCTTCTTCTTCTTTTTTTTTTATCATGATATGCCTAAAGCCTCAGCAATGGGAGACCCGGACCCAAGCAAGGATGAGTGAGAACTTGCAAGTTCTGAGGACTTGGAAAGCACAGTGTAGATTCTTCATAAGCCTCATAGATCACCTCAAACAACTTCCTTCCAGATGTGTGTGTGATTCCCACACCTGATATTGCTACTTGCCAACAATAATAATCCTCATCCACTCATTCATTCATTTATCCTTTTCTTCACCTGTATTTACTGGGCAACTGATGAGTGTCAGAGAGTGTACTAGTACCGGGTATACAGTGGTGAATAAAACAGGCGTAATCCCT